GACCACAGTGGATGTCAGAAGAGACTCTGAAACTTGTCCTTGAGCAGAGAGTAGCTAAAGGAAATGGAAGAAATGACAAGATAAAAGAGCTGAACAGAAGATTTCAAAGAGCAGCTTAAGAGGAAAAAGAAAAAATCACTATACCAAAAAGAATTAGTCAATGTTCATCCATTTCAGAAGGGGCATATGGTCAAGAACCAGTGGTATTGAAGGAGGAAGTCGAGGTTGCACTGAAGGAATTGGCGAAGAACAAGGCTCCAGGAATTGATGGAATACCCATTGAGATGTTTCAGTAAGCAGATGCTATGCTGGAGGCATTCCCTCAACTATTCCAGGAGATTTGGAAGACAGCTACATGGCCAACTGACTGAAAGAGATCCATATGTGTACCTGTTCCAAAGAAAGGTGATCCCACGGAATGTGAAAATTACCAAACAATATCATTAATACCACATGCAAGTGAAATCTTACTGAAGATAGTTCAGAAATGGTTGCAGCAGTATATAGACAGAGAGCTTCCAGAAATGCAAGCTGGATATAGAAGAGGATGTGGAATGAGGGATATCATAGCTGGTATCAGATGAATCTTGGCTCAAAGCAAAGAATACCAGAAAGATGTTTTCTTGCATTTTATTGACCGTGCAAAACCATTCGATTGTGTGGATCATAACAAATTATAGATAACTTTGAGAAGAGTGGGAATTCCAGAACACTTCATTGTGCTCATGAGGAACCTGTACATAGATCAAGAGACTGCTGTTCGAACAGAACAAAGGGATACTGCATGGTTTAAAATCAGGAAGGGAGTGTGTCAGGGTTGTATCATTTCACCATACTTACTCAATTTGTATGCTGAGCAAATAATCCAAGAAGCTGGACTACATGAAGAAGAATGTAGCATGAGGATTGGAGGAAGGCTCTTTAACAACCTGTGATACACAGATGACACAATTTTGCTTGCTGAAAGTGAGGTTGAGCACTTACTCATGAAGATAAGAGTACAGTCTGCAATATGGATTACACCTGAACATAAAGAAAACAAAAATCCTCACAACTGGACCAATAAACAGCTTCATGAATGGAGAAAAGATTGAAGTTGTCAAGGTCTTCATATTACTGGGTTCTGCAGTCAACACCAATGGTAGCACAGTCAAGACATTAGACGGCATATTGCTTTGGGCAAATCTGCTGCAAAAGACCTCTTTCAAGTGCTGAAGAGCAAAGATGTCACCTTGAAGAGTAAGGTGCACCTAACCCAAGTCTTGGTATATTCAATTGCCTCATATGCATGTGAGAGCTGGACAATGAATAAGGAAGACCAGAGGAGAGTCATTCTATAAGAACATGGGGATGCTGCATGGTTTAAAATCAGGAAGGCTGTGTGTCTAGGTTGTATTCTTTCACCATAGTTATTCAATCTGTATGCTGAGCAAATAATCCAAGAAGCTAGGCTATATATATAAAGAAGAACATGGCATCAGGGTTGAAGGAAGACTCGTTAACAACTTGCAATATGCAGATGATACAGCCTTCTTGCTGGAAGTGAAGAGGACTTGAAGTACTTACTGATGAAGGTCAAAGACTGTAGTTTTCAGTATAACACCTCAACATAAAACAAAAGTCCTCACTATTGGACCAATAAGCAACAACATGATAAATGGAGAAAAGTCTAAAGGTGTCAAGGACTTCATTTTACTTCAATCCACAACCAACACCTATAAGAGCAGCGATCAAGAAATCAAATGAAATATTGCATTGGGCAAATCTGCTGCAAAATACCTCCTTAAAGCATTTGAGAGCAAAGATGTCACTTTGAAGACTAGGGTGCACCTGTCCCATGCCATGGTGTTTTCGGTAGTGTTGTATGCATGTGTCACAGGTTGAATTGTGTTGCCAAAAATTTTTTTCAACTTGGCTGATCCTTAGTAGCTTAGCAGTTATGTAATGAGGTAATGTGGCAGATTCGTCATGATACCTCATGATGTCTCATGATGTGATCTGATATGATAAGCCGATCAGGTGTAAGAGGATTGAGGGTAGGATGCAGCACCCTTAGTCCCATCATAGTCCTGATCAGACATAAGGGGAACTTCCCTGTGGTGTGGCCTGTGACACCTTTTATCTTACAGGAAATCAAAGGAGAGTGAAGGGAGCAGAGATGGGACGTTGCCTTCTACCACCAGGAAAAAGCCAGAGCAGAGCCTGTCTTTGGACCCAGACTCCCCATCCTGGGATCCTTCTAAGAGCAAGGGACACAGAGAATGAGACTTCCCTGGAGCCAGTGCTCTGAATTCACAGTTTTAGCCTCCTAATCTGTGGGAGACTAAATGTCTACCTGTCAAAGCCATCATTTATGGTATTGCTTACAGCAGCACTGGTTAACTAAGGCATCTGTGAGAGCTGGATGGTGAGGAAGACTGCGGAAGAATTCGTACATTTGAATTGTGGTGTTGGTGAAGAATACTGAATGTAGCCTGCACTCCTAGAAAAATGAACAATTCTGTCTTGGAGGAAACACAGCCAGAGTGCTCATCAGAGGTGAGAATGGCCAGGCTTCGTTTCTTGTACTTTGGTCATGTTGTCAAAAGGGATGAGTCCCTGGAGAAGGATATCATGCTTGGAAAAGCAAAGGGTCTGCAAAAAAGAGAGACCCTCGATGAGATGGACAGGCACAGTGGCTGCAACAGTGGGCTCAAACACCACAATAGTTGTGAGAATGGGGCAGAACTGGCGGTGTTTCCTTCTGTTGTACGCAGGGTCACTATGAGTCAGAACCAACTCGGTGGTGCCTTACAACAGCAACACATTTAAACGTTGTGAATCTAGTCTCTCGTTGACTTTCTTATTGAGACAAGCATTTTTTTAAGAAGATATTACTACACATCTTGTGAAAAAAAAAGTTTATGAACATTGGTTCATACGTGACAATAATTTTAGTATTTAAACTAGAATGAGGTCATTTAATGCCAAATGTGAAATGCACTCCTTGAAAAAATGAATGGCAAAGGTTTCTCTATTTTTTTTGAGAAACAAAAGAGCCTGAGAGAATAGGTGTAGATTATTAAAACGCATAAGAAACAATTATCTGATGGTCCTGGAATCTCCGTTACTCCTCGTGTTTTGTTGTCAGTTGCCGCTGAGTCCTCTCGGACTCTTGTCGACGTGGGTATAACAGAACGAAACGTTGCCTGGTCCTGCACCATCTTCTGCTGGTGTCCGTTGAGTCTGTCGTTGCGGCTCCTGTGTCAGTCCGTCCTACTGAGGGTTGCCCTGGGTTTTGCTCACCATCCACTTTCCCAGACCTGATGCCTTTCTCCAGCAGTTGGTCTTTCCTGATAATGTGTCCAAAGTAAGCTGTAGTCTCACCATCCTCACTTCCAAGGAGCATCCTGGTTGTTTCTCTTCTAAGAGTGGTTTGTTTTCCTGGCCGTCCACAGTGCAGTCAGTGTTCACCTCTGACTGCTGTTGGGTTTGCTGTTGGGTGCCGGGATGCCATTACAGTGCTGGGTGTTTCTCGTCTGGCTGACTTCTCAGAGTGACTTCCTCTAAGTACCAGAATTCCGTGTTAGCCTTGGCCGCAAGCCATCCCACATTGTTCAGCCAAAAGCCAAGGGATTGTATTTATTTTTTATTTTACGTTATTTCAGCTGTTTTTGCTTTTTTCTTTATTGTTCTCTTGCCTCCTACAGAGCTCTTTTTTCAAGCGTTGCTGGAGGAAGGGGAACACTCAGTTATGAACTCTTTAGCACGCAGGGGTGGGAAAGTGGTTTGCCCCTTCCTCAGCAGTTCAAACAGCTTCTAAGCCACATTAATTTAACCCGCTGTGGATCTGAGCCCACATTGGTTCTGTGAGTTCTGTTGAACAAAACATATCAAATCAGTCCAATTAAAATTTCCTATGATTTATTAATATAACCTATGAGATAGCATAAGGGAATTATGTGTTTATTTTTAAAAGGAAAAAATAACTTTAAAAAAATTAATATTTGAGGAGGACTCTAATTGTATACTTCAGCAACTCATGGCTTTCTGACTTAAAGGTCTTAATTAAAATAACTTTGTCACATCTCAGAATTTTTATTCCTTTTTTTCTCCGCTACATGGGAGCTCTGGTAGCATAGTGCCTAAGGCACTTGACTGCTAACCAGAAGGCTGGCGGTTCAAACCCACCAGCCACTCCTCGGAAGGAAGGTTGGGCATTCCTACTTCTGTAGTGATACTGCCTCGGAAACCCAAGGAGGGGTCGCTATGAGTCGGGGCCGACTTGATGGCAAATAACAACAACAACAACAACATGAATTTTAAGGAGCTCTAGTGGTGCAATTGCGTAGTGCCTCAGGCACTTGACTGCTACCCCAAAGGCTGGCAGTTCAAACCCACCAGCTACTCCTTGAAAGGAAGATTGGGCAATCTACGTCCATAGTGATACTGCCTCGGAAACCCAGAGGGAAGGGGTCGCTATGAGTCAGATCTACTCGATGGCACATAACAACAACAACAGTGGTGCAGTGAATAAAGCAGTCAGCTACTAACCACAGAGGGTCAGCAGTTCAAACCCACCAGCTGCTCCATGGAAGGAAGATGAGGCAGTCTACTTCTGTAAAGATTTACAGCTTTGGAAACCCAATGGAAGTTGCTGTGAACCGGAATCAGCTCATTGACAGTGGATTTGGTTTTTTGGCTGACATGAGTTTTAGAGTATAATGCTGACATTCTCTGTAACTGTGGCTGTTGCACTATCCATCTAGGGGTACTCTAATTCGTTTTGGAGATAGATACGTTAATGCATACCACACTTTCTCTCCTTGTCAAAGCTCCCTGTTCTGTAAGTAGGTGAGTATTGTAATCAGTAATTAAGAGTTAGAGGTCTTGTAGTTAGAGTTAATGAGCACTTTACTGTGATAATTATATGAAACTGATATGAAAGGTCCTCTCGAATAATTAATGTAACTTGGAAAAGGATGGGGGTACTTAAGGCATCCTTCTCATTGATTTCACAGGATTACCTTGACTGTATCAGGGACCAAACTAAACTGCCTCTGGGCGCCGAAGACAGATCAGCCCTTTTTGGAAACATCCAGGATATCTACCGCTTCAATAGGTGAGTTAATGTGTGACAAGTGGCTCTCACGAAGGAACACCATGAATTTCTCTCCCGTTAACACAGCATAGTACAAGAGATCACCTGTCATCTCCAGTTCACCTTCATAAAATGTTACAGCTATCACACCACGAGGAAGATTGCAGTAGTTAACAAGAAGAACCAGATCTGAGAGAACTGAAAGGGATGCAGGCGAGAAAATCAGTTTATTACAATACATTGTGATCTTTCTGGAAGACAGGCAGGCTGCCGGTTAAGAAGGCAGACTGTGGTGTGCAGCACATTGGGCTTGCATCGTGGCTGAGCCGTGTGTGTGTGCTTGGGTGAGTCATTAAACTGAGGGAAGTGACTGACTTCCTCTCTTCAGGTCTTTGCTCAGTTCTTGCTTTCTCAGTGAGGCATAGCTGAGTATCCTGTTTAATGCAGCAACCTGCATGTGTGTACAGACACACACATACATGCATGCACACACAAATGCGTGTACATGTGCACACACCCTGCACTTCTGACCCCCAAGGGCTCTCCTCCTTTTTCTTTTCATAGCGCTTACCAACTCCTGACCTTCTCGAGGAGTTACATCCCCATTGTGATTTCGGTTTCTGCCCTCTCACCCCACCCAGAGCACTCCACAGGGCCAGGGTCTGATCCCTGTGTCTGTTCTGTTCCTGCACCAGTGGCCCATCACAGGAGTCACTAACAATTGTGTCTGATGCATGAATGAAGAGAAATATCTAGCTCATATGGTTATGGGAGCTAATATATCATGAAATATACCTTCAGGGAGCCTTGCCCGATGCCAGCCAAGCATAAGCACCACAGTGTTGACCAGTAATGACATTGACTTTGTTATAGTAAGTCCTGTCCATTATCTTCAGGTCGACCCCAGAGGAGAACTATGCTCCAGAGGGGTTTCAGTGGCTGATTTTTGGGGGTAGATCTCCAGGCCTTTTCTGTGGAGCCACCTCTGGGTGGGCTTGGACAGCTAACTTTTTGATTGGTAGCTGAGTGCATTAACCATTCTACCATAGAATTCTGTAATGCCTTGACATTTTGTGACTCAAGTATAATGCAGCTAGGTCATTTCCCTTGTGTCTCACTGAAATCGGTATCTGTGAGCTCCTTGGAGGCATGGTCCATATTTCCTTTGCCATCCTTGGATCCCTAACACCTAGCACAAGTCTGGGCTTTGGGAGCCTGTTGGTGAATTGAAAGAACTCATTCTTTAATTCTGCAGCCCGGGCTGGGGGAAATGCCATTATCACTGAAGGATTTCTCTACATTTGACTCAATAGACGTTTAAGACCAGTGTGTATGTTCTTCAGAGTAGAACAAAACTCAAAATTATTTAAAAAAAAAAAAAAAAAAACCCGGGTGTACTGGTCTGGTAGAGCCTGGTGAGACCCCTGAGACCATGGCCTCTAGTTACCCTTCAGGTCTGGAACTGAACTCACTCCTGTGGCCTTCAGCCAAACAATAGACAGGCACGGGTGATCGTTTATATCAGGTAGATACACTCCTTGGAGCAGTCGATCTTGGGAGAACAGAAGAGCAGTGTTTGCACAGGGAGACAGGTCAGGGGGCGGGAGTGCATGGGAGAGAAGACACAGGGAAGAGGTAACTATGGGGCGGAAGTGGGAAGAAAGCTGTTACGTTGTGGGGAATTGGCAGCCAATGTCATGAGACAAAATGTATATGAACAGCTGTATGGAAAATGAATTTGCTCTGTAAACTTTCACCCGAACCATAATAAAAATTTTAAAAAAAGTAAAAATTAAAAGATGAGTGTGTATGTTCTAAAAGGAGCTCTGGTGATGCAGTGCTTTAAGCATTTGGCTGCTAAACAAAAGGTCAGTGCTTTAAACCCACCAGCTACTCTGCAAGTGAAAGATTAGGCAGTCTGCTTCTGTAAAGATGTACAGAAACCTTGGAAACCCCACGGGGCAGTTCTGCTCTGTCCTGTAGGTTTGTTCACTATGAGGTGGAATCAGTTCAGTGGCAGTGGCTTTGGTTTTGGTGTATATTCTCAGCAGGGCTCAAACTGGTTCGTACTGGTTTAGTCATGGCCAGTGCAGTGAAACCAAAGCAGATAGGATAGGATTTTTTAAAATGAGTGATTCGGAACGATAACTGGAACTGGGAAAATGACAGGTTGAAGCTGTGGAGTGGGAGGCTCAGAAGAGGCGTAGTGAGCCCTTGCAGGAGGCTGATACAGGAGAGTGGGTCAGGGCCAGGGCTGTAGAGAGAGGCACACAGTCCGAGCAGCACGATTGGTGGCCATCTTTAAGGAAGGCACTGCTGTTTCTGACTCTGCTCAAAATCTGATGGGCAAGAGATTTAGTTGCTATGCAATGTGTACACTGTCCTTAATCTCCTAAAGGGGAGATTAAGTTTTTAACAGGGCTTCAACCCATAATTTTTCCCATTGCAGTTATCACTGTGGTTCACCCAAATTTTAAAACTTGGGTGTGTTTCAGTTTCATGTCCTCGACCCTGACTGAACAGGAAGAACCAGTTCAAAACCCTAGTGCTCTGAGACAGTGCTTCTCAACCTGGGCTACACCCTGGAATCACCTGGGCTGGGCCCTGTGTTCAGAAACCTGTGTTACTTGGTCTGAAGTGAAGCCAGGGCATCTGACTCTTCTTAAGGTCCCCAGGTGTCTGGAATATGCAACCACAGTTGAGAAACACTGTCTAGATGAAATAAACATAGTAATCAGAAAGTAGAGAAAGAGAAAAAGTCTGATTTAGGGAATCCAGAATCCACATATTTGTTAGTGATTTGCTGGTGGTAGGCAGGCCCCCATCCAGTAGTCACTGATGATAAAATCATCTAGTAGTCGCTGATGATAAAATCCTATGAACCCCTGTGTGTATTCTCCTTCTAGAACCCACCAATAGCACCTTCACCCAGAAAGATTTCTAGATGCTGGGAGGCCCAGCCTGGGTCTTCTGGTGGTGTGGCCGAAAGTTGATGGTCACTGGTGTCAGTCAAGTGCTTCCTTCATACCGGATGTCATAGAGCTTTCTCTGCATGATCATGGGCTCTGTGATGACACCACGTGTCGTAGAGCTTTCTCTGCATGACTGTGGGCTCTGTGACTCCAAAGCCCAGACGTTTACCCACGTGCCTTCCAGCCAAAGGGAACCTCCTTCTGTTACACCAAGGTCCCTGTAGTTTTGGCTACTCGGGAGGTATTTTTACTCCCTGGGGTTTACATCTTTATGTGTCTCCTAAGATAAAGATGAGGAGTTGGCCTCCTGAGTCAACAAGAAGGGGCCATTGTAACCAAGCCCAGGCTTCATGCGCTGGATTACCAAGAAGATGTCTGCATTCCCTGGTCGATTCTTTGAGTCTGTTTGATGTTGTCTGAGCCTTGAAATCGGACATGTCTAAAATGAACTAGAGTCACACTGAGTCAGTCCCCTGACGATGACATGGGAGGCATCAGTGTGGTGACGCAACTAGATGCCCACGTGACCATGATGGAGCTCTGCCCCTTGTGTGGATCACGTTTGTATATTCCCTTCTCTTGCATTATCTTGCTTAATCTTCTTACTACCTCTTTGAGGTAGAGCAGATGCGTTGACTGTACACACATTTTATAGATGAGAGCTCAGTCGTGCAAAGTGGGCAGTGCTTTGCTCAAGGACAGAGACCTAGATCCAGTCTAGCTCATTTCGTGCACCTGGTTTTGTCCGATCTTCATACTGGACACTGATTTCAAAAATAACTTACTGCTTAACCTTTGCGATTGAATTGTCTGTGCCACTTTGTCCCCATACATTTTTTTTTTTTCCTTTCTCTTAAATCTGGAGTCTAATTTAGAGCCCAGGCATTTCTCAAATCCACTCACTTGCTCCCAGAAAGGAAACACTGCTTAGGGTCCTTCGTTGTTACTGTATTTGCTTAAGAAAGAGTGTTTATGTGACTTTCTATATGAATGCCTCTTAAGAATCTTTGGTTAAATCCCTTCATCAGTTGGTTTCCAGGATACAACTATCTGGCCAATCTGTGGTTAAAACACAAAGAACAAAACCCACTACTGTTGAGTTGGATCTGACTCACAGCAACCCCTCTTTGGGTTTCCAAGGTGGTATCACTATGAAAGTAGATTGACTAGTCTTCCTTCCGAGGAGTCGCTGGTGAGTTTGAACTGCCAGCCTTCTGGTTAGCAATCAAATGCCTTACGCGTTACGCCACCAGAGCCTTCTAATCTATGATTAGGGCTTAAAATAATAAATTTTACGGTATCTATTGGTGGTGTAGTGCTTAAAGCACTTGACTGCTAACCAGAAAGCTGGTGGTTCAAACCCACCAGCCACTCCTCAGAAGGAAGATGCGGCAATCTACTTCTGTAGTGATACTGCCTCGGAAACCCAAGGAGGGGTCACTATGAGTTGGGTCCGACTCGACAGCACATAACAACAGCAACAAGAACATCGCTAGTGTAATTCAAGGTTTTTTTAAATAATGTGGACACGAAGGCAAGACTTGAATCTCGAAAGAGAACAGAAAGAAACGGTTTTATTCTGACCTGAGTAATTAAGCTGACTAGATTTTTTAAGGAAATATTTCCAGAATGCAGAGTACAGAGTAACATGATAAACGCTCATGAATCCCGCCCCCAAAACTCTATCCAAGCCTTTCCTTATGCTCTGTTTGCTTCCCAGTTGTTTTGAAGCAGAAAGACATTACAGTAAAGTTGATGCCCTTATGTACCCTTCCCCAGTCCTGTTCTGCTCTGCGGAGAACGGCACAGTGTATGCTGGTAAACGGATCCCCTGGCTGGAGCCAGGTAAGGAGGATCCAGAATTTACAGTGTTTGCCGGTCTCAATCTACTGCATGACGTCACTGAACGGGGAAGTAGGTACAGAACTGGCCCGGGCAAATCAAAGCATCTGCCTTCGGCCCTCATGTAGCTGCTTTGTTCCCGTGCGTGGTTTGCCCCCCCCCCCCGTTACTATATGTGTATTCAAGCATCTACTGAAAATGTCTAAC